GGTCAGGGGGAGGGTCATGGTGGGGCTGGAGGAGCTTCAAGGGCTTTTCCGACCTTGATTCTGTAATTAAAGGTCCCATTCTCCTTTTGTACTTACCCTCACACAGCTCCTGTGGTCCCTCTTACCCCAGGAGCAGAGTTTTAACTCAGGTTCTGGCTGAACCTGTTGCTGCTCCCAGTCTAACCGTTGCAAGAGCCCGTTCTCTGCCCTCTGCTTCCTGCAGGAAGGGGTGCAGTGACGCGCCCTGTGCCATCTACACACTGCAGACATCAATGTGTATAATGGAATAAACAGATAAATGTGGAGGTGTCAGGTGACAACTGTTTACTCAAATGCTTTAAAACCAGCCCCAGGGAAGATGCACATTGTGACATTTCCTCTACCCACTTCTGGCCCTTAAAAAGCTGCAGGGATGGGCTCTGGTGACAAGAGCCTGTGACAAGGTCCTGTGGTGACAGGGGGGGGTCCTGCTGGGGCCTGGGGGAGGCCATGCCCCCAGGGGAGCTGAGCAGGGACCCCATCGCTCCTGCTGCTCCAGGGCAGACAGGACAGACACCAGCCCCGTTCGCCTCCATCCATTTTTTTTTTTTCTCTTGTGTTCTTGGGGCCTTGTTTTGCTTTCGATACAACTCTGAAATTCAGGACAACGATTTGTATGTCCTGTCTGTCCTCCCAGCTTTCAGGGAGGAGGTTGGTCACTCAGTGTTGGCTTTTCCCACCTCAGAGAAGCTTCTTCCCCACAGCTCAGCACCTGCTCACAGTAGTTAAGAGGTGCCCTTTATTCTAAAAGTTTCCTTATTTATATCCACCAAAGGGGTGGGATTGAAACCCCTTGAAAGCAGCACTTGTCTCCTCTTGACAACCAACACCTGATTTTACAGGTATGAAGCACAACCAGCAGCAGGCTGGAAGTGGCCCCATGCCCTGCAGGAGGTGGCTCAGCTCCAGGACCCCCCATCCTGCTCCCCCCAGGAAGGGGGCTCAGCCGTGCTCAGAGGCTCCCAGCAGCAGACACCGACCCGCCAGGACTCCAGCACCAGCACTGAGCTGTTTACAGCCAAACGCTGCAAAGCAAAGTGTGGGCAGAGTCTCACCCAGGAGTCAAGGCCAGGCAAGCTGCAGTGCTGCTCCCACTCAGGAAAGCTTTAGACCACATCAGCTTGGGAGGGAGTAACTGGAATACTCTGTTCTTTCATTTATCAGAAGTTACAGGAGGTGTTTAGTTCCCTCCACAAGTCACCACCTTCCTCCCCCTGTATTGGGAATCTTCCACCTGGACACTGACAGGTCAGCCCTGGCCCTGCAGGAATGAGCCTTCCTAGTGGAAAAGGGCTCATGGTTAACTAGCCCAGGGCTGAGCTGTTAACTAGCCCAGGGCTGAGCCCCCTCACACTGCTCCCACCCCCCAGGAGCCAGGCACAGCACTTGGGACATGGCCCTAGAACAGTAACTCCAGCCCTGTCAGTAACAGCCTTTTATGTATTAACTCTGAAGCTTTGCTGGAGAAACAAGGGGAATTACTGCTTTAATAAAGGCAGCAGCGTTATTACACACAAGTTGACAATTTCTCATTCTGCCCCAGCCACATCGGACCTGTCAGTCAACTCTGGCAGCACAACCCCATCTCTACCCCCCGTGTCACCCTGGCTGCTCTGCCAGAAGTGGGGTGAGCAGCAGCTCCGGGGGAAGCCCCTGTTCTGCCGGCCGGAGCCCAGACACGGGGGGCACCTGTGGCCACCGAACCAGCACAGAATAAGCTGGTCTAAGCCCCACAGCCAGCCCAGGGGCTCTCCTGCTGCAGGCCCAGCGGGACTGGGGCAACAGTAACACCCATGAGGCGGGTTCCTCGAGAGCTGAAACAGAGTAACAGGGAAAAGGGAAAGGAAGTGCCTGGAGGGGTTTTTAAAACCCTTTTCAAACACTGTGTAATACTCCTCTGTCCTGCCAGAACTCTGCTGCTTTTCTGCAGCTCCCATCTGAGCCCAGCTAGGACAGGCACCTGACAAGCCCCACAGACTGAGGCCACTGAGCTGCGTGCAGAACAAAGGAGCAGGGAAACATTAAACATTTACATGTTTATTATAATTACAATTTACATTACTCCAAAGAGCAGCCCCACTGCTATGTTCTAATTCTTAGCAATAAAGTCCTACAAAAATAAATCCAAGCTTTTACAGTAACCTAGGTCAACGCATAACTAAAAAAATTCTAGCTATGTAAGGGGTTCAGTCATCAAGGTGCTTTTTCAACAAAATTCCCTACCAACCAAAAAAAGGGACACATGCCTATAGCAATTTAACCCACTTATTCATGCAAACAAATGTAACCCCTCCCTCCCAGCCCCTCTCCCCACATACAGATTTTTTTTTTAAAAACAAAAAGAAAAACAACTAAACTATTTACAGTATGGGGGTATAGAGGAAACAAATTAAACATGCCCATCTGTTAAGCTTCATTATATGGACTCCCATCCCTAGTTTAATGAAAACATCCCATAGTGTTCCACCACAGTCTACTAGTGTACAGAGAACTGTTTGTGTTTGGTACTACCCATGAGCGAGGTACGAACCAAGGCAAGAAGTCAGAGCTGCAGATCCCCTTCCCAGGCAGTCAAGTACTGCCAAAAACTCTTTATTATGAGTGCACGAGCGGAGACACTTCCCTCTCCTGTCCCCCGCCTGCCCTGACCCAGCAAGGAGCTCGAAGCTTCCAAAGAACACCCAGCACCCTTCAGCTCGAGCACAAGTCACACCTCTGTGTAAACCTGCAGTACCTCCACACTAGTACCAGCTGACAAACAGTTGTACAGTCATTTACACTACTACATGATCAACAATCCAGTATTCCCAAGTGACAATACACATAACTTCTCAGCACCAGGAATCCATTCTTCCAGATACCAAGTGCTACTTCACACCTGCTGCCGAGAACAGTGAGACCAGCAGCACCAAAGGATCCATTTGGTTACTCAGAACAAACAAATTATAGCTGGTTTATTTCAAGTGAGCTTTGGTTCCATGTTAAAATAGCATGATTTATCTTCTTCAGGGTTCAGAAAAGGAGTCTGACTTTAAGCTTAGACTATAGCAGCCTTTGAGAGACCCAGAAAGAAGAACCATGTAAGTCAGTCTGCACTTAAAAAAAACACAAACAAAAAAGACACCCTGAAGAAGGTACCCCTGAACACATTCCCTCTTCCAAAGAATATTCCAGCTGACAGTTGCTGGTCCAAAATAAGTCCAGAATATAAGCAGTAGTACATGAAATTCTGTCACTTGAGCTGAGACAGTAAACAATATGAACCATTTTCCCACATTAGTGCAGCAGTTGGTTGTTTTCTTTCTATATACAGTTTCATCCTCTCGGGAGAGGTGTTAGAACCTATTCAGAAAAAAAAAGTAGAATTAGATTTGATATCATGGGGATCTTCTCCCAGGAAAAAGAAGAGCTCAAAGTTCACACACATGTATCAGCTGAAACACTTAGCTAGAGCCTCAGATCAAACAAGCAGCTCCTGCTTTCTCAGACATAAAGCTCACCCAAGAAATCAACAGAACAATCAACATTTTAAAGAACACCTTAAAACCACTCACGTTCCCTTCTACCACGCTTAGCAGGATTGATCAGATACAGTAAGGAACAATTCTTGATGTATCCATGAGACTGGAGAGCAAAAGAGCTTGCACAGACAGTTCAGGCACAGAGTAAAAGACAAACCGGGCTCAGATACAGCATTTATTCTTGCTAAAAACACTTGCCTCTGAAGTTACACTCTGCCAGTACCAGCTCTGTGAGTGGTTTGGTTTCGCCTCGCGGCTCCGCTACCCCTTCCACCTCGAAATCCACCACGGAAGCTGCGGCCACGGAGGAACCGTCCAGACACTCCAAATGTCTCTGTATTGAGCTTCCTCTCCTCAGCCCACGTGGTACGCCTAGAACTGCACAAACTGCGTTCAGATTCGACATCAGCGTTACATAGCCACCAACTCACTGGGGTAGGAAGCCTCAAGCACTCTGTTTTGTTGAGCTGCAACAAGAACTAGCTGCAGCACATACACACACACACTAACTCAACCCCTCTGCTCATCAGCACAGGTTTGTAAGCAACAACCATTGGCTTCTGTAAGCTGCTTTCACACTGGAAAACTAAAGATGGGCCTAGAAAAGGGTTGAACATGGTCTTACAAGGTTTTCAAACCCAGACTTGTTTTCTTGAAAGCTACAAACTCTTGACTCCAGTGAAGCCTCTACAGAAACCCAGGAAGCCCTGTCCCAGCTGAGTTCAGCAGGCTGCTACTGCAGCAGAGCAGCCTGCCTGGCCCTGCACTCCTCCAGCACTTTGCTAAAGGAAGCAGAAACATTACCAAGGGAATCCCACATACTGACACTAACTGCACGTCTGACTTCACCAGACAGTTGGTAACGCTGGTGTCAGCAGCAGAAGATGAAGCTTTAACCCTCCCAGCACTGGACTGAATGAATTTCCAGGGACAGACCTGACCTCCTCTCTGCTCAAACTCCAGGCTTAGGTTGCTCCTGCCTGCAACTTGCACCATCTTCAGCATAGCATGACCCTGACGCCTCCTCCCACAAACGAGATAAGAGATTTGTTTAAAAATCAGTGGGTTCAAAGTCAGTACTGGGAAACAGAACTGGAAACTCCTGTATCATAGCTCAGGCAAGTGTAGCAGTATCAGCTGAAATCTTTGTTTTTTGTTTGATCCCACTGCATGGAGCTTGGTTAATATCACTCATGAGCCATCAAGTGCACAGCAATACTCCCTTCTAAAGACCATTTTTGTTGACTTACTTGCATTCTAAGATTTTTAAAGAATTCAACCATGTGATGTAAATTATGCCGAGAATTCTATGCCTAAAATTGCATTTAAAAAGCAAGCCTTTTGAAAATACTCACCTAGATTTCAGTTCTGAAGAAATGTTGTCAAAGAAAGACTTGGATTTATCATAATAGCAGTTGGGTCCCAGAAGGTCCTCCTCTGCATTACCGTCATTGTTTTGAGTTGCCACTCCAGGGTCCCCTTTTTCTTCCCCCGTCTCTGCTTTGTCATCTGAAGATAATAAAACGTATTACACCTCCTTGATGCATACTGAAGAGCCATCTGTTCTCTTGCTCTCTCAAACAAGATTTGAGATGCTGCCACATGTAATCATGCAGTTTTTCAGAACGAGTTTGTCTATGCAGTGTTTACTACTAGCTCAGCAAATCATATTTAATGAAGTCACAAACCTTTAAAGTTTAGTTTCTTCTTGAATTCCTTATCAAGTTCCTCTCTGTTGAATTGTGCATTTGCACTTTCAAAGTCAAAGTCACCTTCAAACTTTATTGTATTTTCCTTCACAGTAGCTGGTCTGTTTTGTCCTCTAGAGCGGTTTCTGGTTCTCCTGTTTCCTGAAAGCAGGAGAGTTCAAACACTTGGTAATGCACAGGGAGGTTAAATTACTTGCTCAAGACCAGAGGAAACCAGGCTCAGAACTCGGGATTTTCTGGCTTCCAGTCCTGGAAGCCTCTTTTCACACCTCTTTGAAAGTAACTTCTGAACTTGGCTGCAGAAGACATATTACAGCAACACACAAACATTCCTGGATGTCAGTCTTACTATTAAGACAAAGTATATCCAGCTTCCAGTGTGAGGAGGGGAAATCAGAACATGTACTATACCAACAAAAGCTGAGGGAAAACAGTCTTTCCTGCCTGCTATTCATCTGCAAGCATGGTACTGTAATTAGTCTACAAACCTGTGACAATGGCAAAGAGGAGCAGGTCAGTGGTTTCAGAAAATCCACCCAAGACTCATCTACCCACAAAGGGAGTGTGTACTCTGTATAGTTTCTGTTTCCAACTGAGATGCTGCCAACTCCTTTTTGGAAAAGCTGTAACCCCTTCCGACAATGCTGTCCTCAGGCAAATTAATTTGAAGACCTGAGAGTCTTAAGTCCTGCCTTCCCTCATTTCACTTGGGCAGAAATACCTGTTTCAATTTCATTTCACTTTCTTTTGACCTGTGCTTAAACTGCTATCTTGAGATAAGACCTCTGCTCTGTGAGAGTGAGAGCTCCATGGTTCCTCTCAGTTACAAGAGCTCTGGAAATTTTCAAACAGGTTGCCCTTCCAGTAAGAATCCTTCAGGTTTCAGAGAAATCTCATTACTGCTGCCAACTCATAGCATCAATTTTTAGAACATATCTTCAAGTCTCTACAAGAGAAATTAGAACTCTGTTAGTGGAATGTTCTGAACTTCTGTGACTGTTCTAGAACCTATTTTGTTAGGGAAGCATCTCTGGATGCCCAAAGCCTTATCAAGCTTTATTTTGCTCTCACTCTTCTATCTGATAATCCTTTACTGAAGTTAACAATATTTGCTGTTAGTGGTTAACGCAACTGTTTAATGCCAGGTTAACCTACCCGATCTTCTCCGTTGAGGTCTTCTGTTTTCATCATTCACCTGTCCTTGGGTTTGCACAGGTGCTGCCTGAACTGTATCTACTGAACAAGAAGGATAAACTTAAAGGAGCACAAGAACAAACCCAAAACAGTTTAGTCTTGCTATGTACCCTTGAAAGATGTTTCAGATCAGCACTTTAAAGACACAGTGGTCCATACATACCATTTGTTTTGCTGTTGCCCTGCGGAACCTGCCGTCCGTTGCGCTGGACCCCTGGAGTTACTTTCACTGGGGGTGGCTTTTGTGAATTCATGTTGTCAACTGGGCCAGTCTGAACAGCCTGCTCTACCATGGGGCTTTTGCGGACTGGGTGAACAGAAGGAAAGCCAGAACCTGGAAAAAATCCCAATGACTAAGTGCCTCTCAGAGAACATGCCAACACTACTCAAACCCTACCCACCTCTATGGAGAAACAGTTTTGTCAAAAATTACTCAAAGCCTTGAGTGTTTATCATTACACACTATGTTTAAGTGGCATATACACTAGGTAAGGCCCCACCGCCACACAAATCACGGCTCACAAATCCAGAGCCTTCAAATCAGGAAATCTACCCCTTTATTTCTAAAACCAAGTTAGACACGCATTAGATAAACAAGCCAGGTCAGTCTCTTAGACATTTTATACCAAAGTCTAATTTCTAGGTGTATCCCTGGTTATGCAGGATTTTACTTTACACAGTATTTTAAATCTGAAGCAGAAATCCACCATTTTGAAACTGCTCAAGAAAGCTTCCCCACTTTGACAAAGAAGTTTTGCAGTAAAAGCTTAACCACCTCAACTACATCCCATTTTGTAAGCCGCTTTTAGAAGTCCTTTAACTTCATTGCTTATTGTTAGCTTTCAGACAAAGAAAACCTGAAACCAGACCAGGATCTCAAAGTTACCCTTTTAAATTCCTTCTTGGTCAAGGCCAAAGTGTTACCAAGACTTCTGTTGCTCTTCCATCCAGGCTTATTTATTCACACTACAAAACATGTAAATACTTTTCATGGTTTGGTATACCTTAAACCAATGATATTAAAAAGTGACAGTCTTCAGTACTCAGAAGAAACACTGCATTCTAGATTTGATTAGAAGTTTTGGAGTACTACAGGTTTATGTAGTTATGCATAGAACTGCTTGGAAGCAAACTTTAACTGAATATACTTAAAGAGCAAGAAAAGTGAAAAGCTGGAGTACACACAAACCAAGCCACTGACATTTCTGGGTCACCCAAGTCCACATGAGATATACCCAGCAGGTAACATCATGCAGGTTCCCTGTTAATGTACACCTGGAAAACTTGCAAGGAAGACAGACATATCCTAAGGATTATTCAGTAGGACGAAGCTGCTGTGCAAGTTTAACATGAGAAAAGTTTCAAAGCTTAGCCAGAATATTGAGAAAGTATGTACAGATAGATGGCCAAAACCAGAGAGTAAGTAAAAACAGTTTCATGCCAACACGAGCATACATGCTTAAATGAAAAACAGATTAAACTAATTACCATGTTTAAATGCAGGCTGCACCTGGTCTCTCTGCTCTGAGGATGGTCAGTCTAGTATCTCTACTCAAACTCCTTTAAAAGTTTTTACACATAGAAGCAAGCACCCAGAACTAGGTTATCTCAGCTTACCACAACTCAGAAATTGCTTACTGTTAGTCATGCTTTACTAATTGAGTCTTGACAAAATACTATGCCCCATCATGCATGAAATCTATCCTGATGTTTCCTCGATTACAGCAACACTCCCAAATTTTCCATTAACCTATGTCTCTAACAGCAAGACCACCCACAATTTAAGCAGCATGCTGCATTTCCAGGAAACACTAGTTAATTCCTTGCCCAGTCTCTAAGGTGACACATGCTCCTGAATAGGATGCAGCACATCAACATCCCTAAACCTCAGTCCTCTCCTGATACTTACACAAGAGGATCCGCTGTCCTGTACTTTTTTCCTTTCTCCTGTCTCTCTAATTGATACTTCTAGGACAGGAGGAATACTTCATGTAGCAACAGGCAAAAATAGCTAAGAACAAGCTAGTTCTACTAGCATTACCCATATAAGTACTATCGTTCTAGGAGGGGTTAACAAGAACAGAGTGTTTGCAAGTGCCATGCAGTTCTTCCAAATATTTGGAGTCCTCAAACTGCTGTTACCCTTGGAAGAGAGCTGATGGGGGTCTGAAGACATGTCAGGCTCTGAAACAGGTTGTGGAGACGGAGAAGAACTAGGGCTGGAAGCAGCTGCTGATGCTGGAGGGCTTACCAATTTCTCTGAAGAGATAGAGGGAAGAAGAGAAAGCAAAGATATACGGATAAGATACAAGGTAGTGAAACATCTGAAGGACTTGGAAAGAGATACAAGAATCTCTAGAACAGCATTAGAGCAGCTTATTTACAGTCCTCTCTGAGAATACAAGTTCCTTTTACATGTGATGTACATGTAAGGTATGTTAGGTTAGAAATGAACTGGCCTCGACTATCTAGTATTCACATTACTTTCAGAAAGAAACTCAAGCTGTTTAGTTCATTTCTTTCTTTTGTGTGCATATGTGTGTGTAAGTGACATGCAGGCCTCGCAATAAAATCACTGCACAAAGTTGTTAACTACTGGTTCACTGCTTGTTGCAGCCTGACACTTCGCAAGGAATTCGGTATTAGTTGCTGTTATTTAGTTTCACGGTAGCTGCATACAAGGACTGTACCTTTATTCTAGCAAGTAAAATTTTTACTTACCTAAACCTAATGAAGCTGCATATTGCTGGCTAAGTAAAGAGCTGGCAGCGAGCTGGCTGTAAGGTGGCATACCTCTAAAAGGGCTGTAAGGCACATGTGGCTGAAAGGATGATGTAGAGGCAGAGCCCAGTGAAGACTGTAACAAAACAAAGTACATTTCCATTTACAGTGTCCAGAAGTCAACTTGCCTTGGCAGTGATTCTCTACTTCATGTACAGCATTACTAAAGCTTAAGTAAATACTGAGAAGGGTTAGTTTACCTCTTTATTATCTTCCTGCATTCTCAGCTAGGTAAACTAGCTCTGGCTTTTGTTGACTAAAGTCTTTAATGCTGCTATTTTAAACATTACAGTGAAATTCAGGATGCTTCAAATAATATAAAGATTCTGGAGACACTTACTGGGCTTCATTTTTATAAGTTTATACTAATATCCAGTCCATCACCAGTGTTTTATCACAGCCTTCTATCAACACTTCAGGCTAACTTACTTGAACAATCGCAGGATCTTGTGGTAGAGTATGTTGAGCTTTTGGAGGTTCACAGACAGTGATGTCTTTGATGTCACTTCCTCGAAAAATAATGTATTCATAGATTTCTTCTCTTGGAGGAGCAGGTCGGTCTGTGGGCCGGTCTTCAGTACCAAAGGACCGCACTTTAGCATTAAAAAGATTACTGTTAGTCCCAAATTACCACTGCAGCATTGTGTATGTTAAGATTTATGCAATTAAAAAAGTCCTCTTGTAACACTTGCCAACTGTAACAAAAAAAAATGTTACCTCCAGAGCCCTGCATCTCCTTATCACACACATCTGTTCCCTTAAATGCTAATTTTTTCAGCAGCCTGTATAAACAGTTTTGTTTACATCAAGCTGTGAAGGTAAAGACCACAGACCAGCTGGAGTGAAGAATCCTACTCCAAAAGTGAGGACTTCCCCACAGTGCTCTGCTGTCATACTCCCCTTCCCTCTCCAGCACCTGTCCCATGTAGGCATTCAGCCCGAGACAACTGCCACTGCAACAGACCACAGGAGAGGCCCCTGAAGGAGCAGGGGGAAAAAAAAAAAAAAAAAAAATCTTAGAATGCTTTAGAGCTCAAATTTGCACCTTTGGTTTCATATATTTATTATACAGAGCAAGGTAAAGTTCTATCAATGACAAGAACTTCCTCTTAAAATGCTCTCTGTGCCACTGGCTCTATGATTAATATTCACTGAGTACAAAGCAAGCTTTCAGTGATAAATCTAAAACCTCAGTGCCTACCGAGGCTTTAATGAGTCCCAGCTATTGGAACACTTGTGCAGGTACTAGTCAGTGATGTTACAAATTAGAGTGGAAAAAAGGCTGCAATTGACTGTGGCAGCTACCAGGTAGAAGTATAAATTAATTTCAGCTGCTGAAGAGGAAGAGGTCATACTTACTGGATTCTTAGTGCAGGAAAATAGGTAGCATAGTTACATCAGACACTGACATACAAAAGTTTGAAATTTCAGCCACAAGTTACAGAAGCTTATCGAGTTTACTAGTCTAATTGTTTTCTGTCTTCATGAGGCTTTGCCAGTGCAGATAAGCAACCAGCACATACTGGTTTGATGTATGCTTTCTGCCAATAGAAAAATTCTGTATTGCATTTGCATCAGTTGCTTCTAACAGGTTACCACAGACGTACTCAACCTCTCTGCCAGAACATGCCACGATTCCTGCAGCACCTTTACAAACTACATCCTTAACAGACCTTTCACAAGCACCTGCCATGTCACAGTCTGTGGTGATGTGCCAGCCAGCTGCCACTCCCACTGCACAGCTGAAAAGATAGAAGCACAGACAGCCCTGTCACAGGGATGATAGGGGGGCACCACAGCTTCCCCAGAAAAAGGGCAGGAAAAACTGGATCCACTCAACCCCAGTGTTGTGCATCCCCAGTATACTATACTCTTACAAACTTACTAGGAATGTTGATGTTTCAGACAGGGCTGCTCTTCATTGCTGAGAACAGGGCTTCTGATAAGCCATATCCACTTGGTTGCCCCCACCGAGCAGCAGTTAGTGCTGCAAGCAGTCTTCACACCTCTGTTCAACACCCGAGAGCTCACCAGGAGCAGCAAGCTCTGTGCACAGCAGGTCAATGACAAACTTTGTCCCTACCACACTGATGCTGTTTAGCACCTCAGCTTACACCTAACTGGAAGGGAATCTTAACTGGTGCAAGGACAAGCTGTCAGTCACGTGCTTTGAAGGACCATCTTCCATTAGTTCCTAGGGTATATAACCTCTCCAAGTTATTTTAGATCTCCAGCTGCCGTTTGATCATATTACAGCTGTAACCTAGTCAACTAGAAGCAGATTATAGACTGAAAGCAATGCTTGTGGCCTTTTAGACACAAACCGTACCACTGATATCCCTGCTCAAGATTAGATTATTGCAGCACATAGCTCGTGGCAAGACATACTAAAGCTACCCAGGCACTACTGCAGAATCCCCCAGCAAGTTTGGAAAGCACAATGTCTTCTCTGAACACCAGCATCAGCCTGTCAGCTTCCACACAGAGAAACACATGCCCTGCAAAGCTCAAAGTTGTCCAGCCAGCCTCTCAGATGGCTGGTCCGAAGGTTTCTAACTAAGAAGGTGTAAAACTACATCCTTGCTGAGAAAACAGCAGTGAGGGCATCTGAGAGGGCTCTAGGAGTTGAACATGCCTGCCCCTGCATTCGGAATGTTTAATGGTTTCTGACACATCACAAAGCACAGCTTTAAGTTTCTGCAGAGGTTTGAAGGGCTGTCTCCCATGAAGAGTTACAGTGACTATTGTTTACAGACGAACAGGAAATCAATCCCACACCACACTGCAGCTAGTGTTTTACAATACAGTTTGTACTCATGTCTAGGGCTCTGTTCAGCTAGACCGCTGAAGGGTCAGGAAGCAGAACGAGTGACTGGATGTCTGGAAAGCAGAGCTTACGTGGATATTTTTTGCTCAAACACTCTAGTTCCTTCAGACTCCTACAAAAAGGGGAGTAAGTGCTGCCGACAGGGCAGTCATGGGCTTAAACTTCCTTTGTTTGTAATTTAAGTTTAACAAGACAGTCAAATTTCTTGCAACTGCTTAATTAAGCACATGGAATCTCCTTATCCAGTGTTTAAGATATGCATGTGTTGAGATTTAACAGGAACCAAACTGAAATCAACTGAAGTTAGCCCAGCTTTGAGCAAGAGGCTGAACCAAATTCCTTCCTGAAGTCTTTCAACCTAAATTTTTCTTTATGTCACTCAGATGATGAAAGTCAAGAGGACACCACTTGCATTACATACTGAAGTTGCTTGAGCCTTAAACAGTGGCATCTGTGACTTAATAATAATTTACTAGCAATCTGGACAACTTCCAACTGCAGTCAGTACTTCATGGTTCTTCTAACCCTAACAGAGATCAAACATTTTGAACTGCTGTCCCCCATAAGCACAGGGCTGATATTGCCATCACCAACTTCAACACTGTTGCTATGTTGGTAATTCTGACACTAATTTTGATATAAAGTCTCAAAAGTTAAAAACCCCTCTGAGCTAAAATGTAAAGCAGGGATTGTACTGTGAAGTTTATAGAGCAGCACTTTAAGTGGGGAAAAAGGTATTCTCTGTTTATTGTAACAACTACTTCTTAGGCATTCCAGTTCATCAAAACTGAACACTAAGAGACCAATAAATACAAGAACTGCCAGAAATCTTATACAGAGCATGTACTTTCTCATACCATAAAGCACTTTAATCACATATGCCTCAAACACACCACTTAAGCTCTGAAGTAGCAAGTGCTATCTGGGAGCCAAAACCATGTAAGAGACCATTTTTCTGCTTGCTGCTGGGTAAAGGTGAAGACCCTCCTGCACATACAGTAAAGGAATTGCATCCTACCTCTCAATTACTTTTGAGTAAAACACCAACATACACAGCTCCATTTGCAAATTTAAATAAACAGCTACATCCCTAGGAAAAAAAGTAAATTTGAAAACTCACATTTTTAACTTCAGAATACATACTAATAGATGTCAAATACTCATGGCCAGCATCACATAAACATCATTATACTGAATAAATACTGAGGCACAGCTGAGAATCAGGCAAGTCGGTGTCTCATGCCAGCAGATATCTTTTGTTTTGAAAGACTGTTTGGTTTGTGAACAACCCTGATGGGTTGCTGGAGGCAACAAAGAAGGTGTGAACTTCCCAGAACTAGGGAAGGACAAAACTGAGGGGAAAAAAAAAAAGCTGATGCACATTAGCTGGAGTAGCCAAGCTGGACATTAAAAGCACTACAGAAATAAGATCTTGTTTGAGAGACTCAACAATACAGGACAAGTTTTTCTGACGGTAAACACGGGATTTCTCGATACAGGTGACAAATTAATCTGAATGACACCATTTAGGTAGAAGATAAAGGTCACTATTTCTACAGGGGAACAGAATGCAAAGCTTTAATGAGCAGCCTGCAAGGTAGGAAAAGCCAGACCCACGTGCAGATACCCCACAGCGCTCTGTACTCGAGCTCTGTACTGAGCAGAGTCCAGTTATTGATCACGTAAGGAACAAAGACACATCAACAGCAACTCTCGCTGGCCTGGCGCCCCGCTCAAGCCAAGCACCGAGACACTGCCGGGCATCCACGTACAGGCAGGAGAGGGGAACCAAAGCACGAACAGCGGTGCCGACCATCACCTTCCTGGCTCTGACAATAAGAGGAGGCGGCAGCACTGCTGGCAGCTCTTCTTCCTCTTGAGGGGACTGATAACTTCCCGTGAAAACCAAGGGCTCCTCAGCATCCCGGGCCCTGCCGCTCCTCCGGGGAGGCACAGCAAGCCCCCGCCACGGCCCGTGCCCGTCCCCGCGTGGTGGAGCGGCCTCCCAAATGCTGACTCACGGAAAGCCAGCAGCGCCCAAGGCAACGGGGCTCCAACCCCGCCACCCCCCAGCTCCCCGCACTTCGCCCCGGCCGCCG